GGGGGGAAAAAAAAACAAAAAAAAAACAGCACAACCCTTACAAAAACTACAGCGTAGTAATTAACAGGAAAAACAAAACTTCAAATTTGACATTCATACTACGTTTCTTTTAATGGTGACCATGTTGAGTGAGATACAGCATAGTAATTAGAAGCAAGATGTGATTGATAAGCTTTATTCGTCACTATCGGAGTCTCTTTCGATGCTGTAAGCCATGAAGAAAGCGTCGGGGCGGGTTGGGACGAGGGGATGACCCGGTCTCACAATCTCAAAGCCCATGAAACTGAACGTCCTCAGCAGCGATGCTGGAGACAGAAGTGCAAAGGAAGTTAAAAATAGGGTTAATAAAAAAAAAAAAAGAAAAAAAAAAAGGCAAGAACACAGGAAGAGAAAAGGCGGCTTACCTCGGTCATCTCGGCTCTTATGGAAGCAGATGAAAACGTGATCAACCTGTAACTTCTCCTCTGCAAACTCCAGCAAGAGTGAAAAACTGTTGGCAAAAAATAAAAATAAAAATTGGAACAATCAGTTTAAGCCACACAACTTTTTCCTGTAGGTATAAAAGAAAAAATGAAAAGAAATGTTAATTTGACTAACCTATCTTTGCTCCCTTCTGGGAGGACATCAGTGGGGATTTCGATGTAAAGGTTTGCCCCCTTCAGTGCTCCTCTCCAGACTAAGTGCTTGCTCACAGAGCAGCGCCGCTCAAAGAGCAAAAAACGTACACGGCTGTTCAACTGAGGGGCTTCCTCAAGAACCAGTAACTGAGCATCCTACAAAAACAACAAATAGTTATATGCATATATGCAGTCAAGGACAATTACTACAGCACAGCCATTTAACAAACTGTACCATTTAAATCATTAACAGGCGAGGTGAAATGTCCAACGTCAATTCCCACAGGTGATGTGATTAATATGCAGATAAGATATGACCCTTGCACAGTGAGATAACTAAAAGCATACATCATGCACACATTCTCTTTGAGGAATTAAGTTAAAAGACACTTAGTATAAAAAAAAAATCTAAATTCTAAAATCTAAATTAATATTATCATTTATTCACACAAACACATTTTCATGTGATGTGAAACGTGAACCAAACCCTCTGTACTCACAGAATAGAATAGCTTAGCTGAAAGACTGTGATCCCGCTGATCATTCCCTCGCCCACCTGGGATCTTCAGGGGTGGGAGAGGGACATCAGGAACACCACAGAGGCCCCGGACACGGGTTACTGCAGCAAAGGGAACTGCAACCATAACACAACAATATACTTAATACTCAGACAGTATTACATCAACATATAATGTTTGGCTAAAATTTTTAATGAATCACTGAATGACTGAGTCCTAGTAACTCAACTGGTAGAGTATGACACCAATGCTAAAGGTTTAGCACATTGGGAACGCAAAAATGCAAGAATTTTAAATTCTTTGGTATACATAAATGCATAAAAGGAAGATGACAGGAATACACCGATAAAACCTGGTTTAGTCTTTTCATCAGTATGATTTAAATTGCCACAGATTTTATGTTTCTTTTTGTAACGAATTAGTCGAATCCGAGATGTGAGTGAAAAACCACTGTCTGTGGATAATTTTGGCAATGTTCACAATCACTCAAAAACATGTACTAATTGAAAAAACAAAACGCATTTACTGATTATGCTTTTATTCCTAGTCACGTATACACACACACACACACACACACACACACACACATATACAGTGGGTACGGAAAGTATTCAGACCCCCTTCAATTTTTC